TACGACTTTTTTCCGTAATGTGTACTCGCGTAACGAATGTTTTTTGCCACACCTTTTGTCGTAACTATTACTGTCGGTCAACGCTCCCTAATGCAGGGTTTTTGTTACGCTGTTTGTTACGAATTTCCTCTCGCAACCAAATGTCAATCCTTCCGCGCGTGTGTCAGAGATTTTAGTTACGATATTTGTTACGAAAGGTCGTTGCGTTACAAAAACGTTCCTGTGATCGCTTGTCATATTTGGTTTTTGTTACGAATATTTGTAACGACATTTAACCCGTAATAAAAAATATACTTTCCTATAGTCACGGAACAACCTGAAACAAAAAATATCCAAGGACCACTTTTTGTCACGGTATTTCATCTTTTTGTTACGCAGAAATATCATGCTATGAAAAATAGGTGTTACACTGCAATTAAAGTAAAGCAACCCATAAAACATAATGCTATAAACATAATCATTGGCAATACTTGCAAACATTAATTCATAGTAAAATCTGAATCCCAACATTAAGGCACATGGACACCACAGATTTTACTCGACAATCTCCATACCTAACAACAAAATAAAGGAACCCATAAAACAAGTCTAGCAAGCACTACATAGCAACATCCTGTTCCGAAAAACGGGCTTAACAGTTCAAACACCAAACCTAACAATAAGCAAGAACGGATATCCATCAATCCATAACCACATCTTTCACTACACGAATTAAAACTCAACACAGCCTCAACACAATCCATCCAAAAACAGGTATGACATACATTCCATAAGACAAACGGGGCAACTAACATGGGTGAATCGGTAGATACGCTTCAGGGGCGGCGCATGAGCTGCAATGGCCAACACAAAGATTAGTTTAAGTCGTATTTCTTATAAATTTTGGAAGGCAATACAAGAAAGGTATGGAAGTAGATCCGTACATCCTTGTAGTTCCACTCAATAGGATCTTCACCAACGACATCGCGAAGGGTAGTCGCCCCAGCAATGATCCGCAAAATAAAGGGTGTGTCCGGGACTGAGGCGGATGTCACGAAGATCTTGACCAAGGAAAGTGTGTCACCTAAGCATCCACAAGTGCAATTTTTGAGTATATTAAGCCATAGATATCAACAGACGTTCAAACTGTATGTATAACATGCCATAACACAGACATTAGAAGTGTAAAGCTTTGCAACTAGAACAATACGAGTATGTATATTCAGACATGTCGTACAATACATGGTATTATATCCATGAATTAGGTACCAAAGCACATTATATATCCATGAATTACCAGTCTAGGTCCTCAAAGAGGCCTTCTCCCTTTATGGCGGAAGTTTTGAAGATAGCCCATTACTGATTCTTAATTTTGTGCAACTCTAAGGCCTCAGTTATCGAAGCATCATCCATTGCTCTAGGAAGATCCTGTAAGTCAAATAATGTTAAGCCATAAGAGAGTACACTTATCTAACTTGTGAGTGGATTAACAAGCAACTTCAACCGACACACAGAGTTTTTCAAGTATGCAAATGCATCAAGAAATTTCTGCTTATCGTATGTAAATTAAGTGCAATGTTAATGTTTATATATATATAGCAGAAAGAATGGTATAAAATTCCACATGCTTGTTAGCAAACAAGAGGACAACGGCGCCTTTTAGCTCTTCCTCCTGGCAAGGGACCAATGTAATTCCATATAAGAAAAAGGAAAGTACAGTCAATCATTAACAAAGATCATTAGGAGTTTAAACAAACAGTTTAACTGACGTAGGGAAAATTAAAACAACTAGAAACAAGAACCATTTTTTCATTTCTATTTAAGTTGAAAACAAAACTGCCAAGGCCTAAAATATTAAAAACCAAAAATAAAGGTAAACAAACTGTTAAGTATTGGTTCAAGTTCTAGGGCCACCTAGGTAGGAACTTACTGTAAGAACACTCAGAGAACTTCAAAGGATCATGTGCAACAAAATTATGCAAACAGTGGCCATTCAATATTTTACAAAAACTACTAAAGTGTTTATTAAAAAAACATCACTCTAATTCTGATTATGTTCTTGAAATTTAAAGCTTCACAATTAATGAGAACATTGTTAACCTTTGACAACTAAAAGTACCATAATCGGGACAGCATACCTGTTGAAGCCAATCACAAGCAAGTTGTTTTCCATGAATATGTGATTGTGACATATGAAATAAAAATTATTTTCATTACATTCTTAAGATCTGTCCAGTAACATAAAGTTTAGTTTATTTGATCTTCCATTAACCTTGGTGTAAAACGGAACAAGAACATCCCCTTTGAAATATATAGGTGATGAACTTTCTTCTGATAATACATTAATGGAAATATGACCTCCAATATTGCATGGAATTCTTCCTTGGCAACCACTAGTCTATGTATCACTTGAATCACTAACATATATTATCGCTTGAGTATTGGGAAAGTAGTACCTCCAATATGGCCTAAACAACAAAGCAAAACATCTTAGCTCGATTCAAGGGATTAGGAAGTTCTAAAGAAAGCTGAGCTTGTTTTATAAGAAATAAAAAGGAAAAGATACCGGAAAATAAGACTATCGTTTAGTATATGTGTATCATGTGGTTGGTTCAAAGATGAGTAAGGTCTATTGTAAGATGCACTCACTCACCACAACTCATGTTTTATATAGAAATAAGGATTCTCGCTGTAGCATCATCTAGTAATAAAAATATGTAGCACTTTGGCTATCAACAAAAAAATGTACCAGCAATCTATCCAGATTTGAAGGATTTGGCAAAGCACCACATAAAGTATTAAAATAAAGTGAACTTGATGTTGTCAAGCACCACATAAAGTATTAAAATACATACAAAAGAAAAAAGTTAAATTTTTTTTAAAGAAATAATAACAATAAAAGCAATTCCTACCTGAAAACAGAATATTATTTTGACAATTTCACCTGGGTAAACTATTTATCCATGGTAGTAATTAACTAAATCTATCAATTCTTAAATACAGAATAAAAAATAAAACATTCTATTGAAAAGTAGTAAAGTATGAAAAAAAATCATTAGAGAGAGATTTTAACATGGATTTAGAACGAAAAAATGTCATTACTGCACAAATCCAATAGGCAATATTAGACAGGGTACAGACACATGTCAGTATTGTGTGATTGAAAAGAGAACCATTAAATTGGACAAATTAACTAAATAGACGATAGAAATAAAAATCACAAGTAATTACTTTCCAAATATGAGTAAATAGTTACATGATACTGGTCTGCCCACCTGCCACAACAAGGAGAACCACCAATGTTACGAATAAAAAACTTTAGAATGACTTCTTAGAATTGGTTGGAAGAGAAACTACTAAGTAATCACAAAACCATTGAGCATAAATGAAATTGTGATAACAAAGAGCATTCCCATGGTTATTTTCTTGAATGTTATTTTATGACTTCCACAGGTTAAAGTTATAACTGTGTTTTGTAGTTGCATTAAGCTTAATGGCCTAGATGCCTAATTATACTCTAGAATCACGACCCACCCTCATAAGCAAATCGTATGTCTATAAAGTAAATCATAGCTTATAAAATCCTTCGGCTCCTTGATGGAAAGAATGAACAAGAAAAAATAAGGAAGCAAATTTAAAACATTTACATTCCAATCATTTAGCTCATGAGACACGCCGAAACTGCAAGTATAACAAAACAATATTCCTCCCTCATTGGTGAAGTGATTATATATATCTTTTTAAAAAAAAATCTTGGGCTAACTAGAAGGATATTGTTGACTTGTAGTCTACATTCTCTAATTCAGTTAAGATAAACCTACAATTATCTTTTATAATATATGGCAGCATTTGAAACCACAGCCAGTGGCAACATTTAATAGCTGATAGTTGTTACAAATTCATTCCACTGTGTATTAATGTGAATAATTCATCCATGGACATCATTTTTTTTCATGCTCTGGAGCTCTAATGAGAGTGAAAACCTAAAGCCAAGAAGTCCTCGGCTCCTTCTTTTCATAATTTCAACATAAATCACCAAGGGCGACACATGACACAATCAATAACAACCAAACTCAGAAATTACAAATTAAAATGATGAACCCCATATGAAAATAAACAAATTCACGAGTCCAAGTCAAACAACAAGGATCTTGAAAGCCAAAAAACTTTGAAAACAATCCCAATTCTATTAAGGATGATAAACTCACCTAAATCCAAAACTTGGAACTTTATGTTGTTATATTGCACTGTTTCCATATTGAACCCAATAGCTATAAAATGTAAAAGACATCTACTCATTAATCAAGTAAAGCAAAGTTTCCCTAATCCTATTTTCAGACTACACATTTTGCATATCACCATTTGTCATATTAAATTCTGCTTATGAAATAGATGCAGCAAATTAATGAACTCAAGGAAGCAACCAAAACAAGCTCAAGAGAAGAGAATAACATAAAACAATTAGAAACAACGCAAAATATCCAAAAATTAGCGCGTTAAATGTCAGTCAACCCACGTTCATAGAATAACAGTATCGAATTGCTTAAAGTAAGGATAACAAGGTAAGTACTTGGAATAGTAGACACTACTTCGCCCATCTGAAGTCGATCTGCGAAAACCAATAGCTAAAGAGAATTAATTAAAAGTCATCACCAAGGCAAGTAAGTGACCACAACAACATGAATCGTATGAAGCGAAAAATGAGGCATACAAAGAATGGTGGTCTTTCCGGCATTGTCGAGACCCAACACAAGAATCCGACCTTCCTTGTTCCCGAAGAGTGAAGAAAACAGCCTCGTGAAAACAATTGTCATCTCACCCTCAATCAATTTGAGAGTGAATACGATGAATTGAATCTAACTATGTTATAATATATAAAATAAACAAATAAAGGATCTGATCTGATCCAGGCAAAGTATCAGCACCTCTTACCCTCCCTTTCCGGCACAAATTTGAAATAAAAGACGACGACTCACTGTAACTGGAACAATGAGTATAATTGTAATGCAAAAATGAAGCTGATTGGCATTGTGACGAAATACCTGCAGACGACAGCGAGCCAGGCTGGGTGCATCTCAGCTGTCAGCCCCGTGGCTGTGCGCGTTGTTATCTTTCCCTACTCATACCAGAGTTTCTTCGTCAGTCACGATACAATATACTCTCATTATAAATAATTTTATACTCTAGCCATGTATTATTTTGTCATTTTTATACTCTCATCACCCATCTTAAACAACAAGACAGAAACACAAACACCTCAACCCATACTGATCCCAGGGTAGAGTCGAACAGGTGCAGGTTGAGATTCTTCCCTTTCAAACCAGCAGACCAAAAACCAAAATTCGAGAACCAAAATAATCATATGATAAAATTACACCATTAATAAATCAAACTTCACAGGGAACTTAAACAATCCGCCTACTAGTTCTCTAACACAAGAATACGTTATCCTACCAACTAATCAAGTTCTGTATATCACACACAAGCCATAAAATTCCCAATACCACCTGAGAAAGAAGAAGAATATTACAACGCCCTATATCGATTTCTCCTTACAGAGGACGCGACGAAGATCCGTGGATCGATCATCATACTACTCGAGATAACTTAAAAATATTACCTGGACGCCGGTGCCGATTAACCTCCTCGATCCCACCTTCACCCAGTACGTCGCGTCTGCTGATTGAGAAATCGCGTCGAAGAATGAGTTGTGCCCTAACTTTCTGAAATTCGCTAAGTGTGAAATCTATTCGGCACCGAGGAGGGGAAGAAGCAAGCCTGCGTGTGTGGGTATGAAATCGTTCTTAGTTTTCCAAAAGCGCTATAGCGTTTTACCTTTTTTTTAAATCCAAAATATCTTTTAAATTTAAAAAATAAATGTAAACACCATTTGTTATGAAGCACAATCGTAACTAATTATTATTTTGAACAAAGTCTACCAACTCCGTTTTTATTACGGATTATTTTGCGTAGTTAAAGAACCTAAAACGTTGACCAAGAAAATAAATATTTGGTCACTGAAATTGTCGTAACAAAAACTATTATTTGTTACGATGTTAACCGCTTATATAAATTAATACTGCTCCAACGAAAGCATCATAAAAAAGAACAAATTTGTCATCAATGGAGGTGCCATCTAATGCATCTTAATCAAACTAATATTCATTGATGTAAATATAGAAGAGCATAACATATAGTTCTTCCCCACATACTATGAATCCAACCATTTCGATCTATTGACAATAGGCAATGAGATTTTGACAAATCTACACATTCTTTGTTATCCAACACAGATACAAGCAATATCGATTTCACCAAGTCAAGTAGATAATTCATGGCAGCCATACCTAATCTACAGAAAGTAGACATCCTTGTTGTTTTTCTGGGTGTTGTAAGCCTCAAATTGTGATGGCAACAATGGTGTCCCGTTCTTGGGTAGCTTAGCCAACTTTGGCCTTTGAAAGCCTCCTTCCTCTGCCTTTCCAAACAACTGCTTCCTTAAAACCTCGTGTAAGTGTCCAAATAGCTCTTTCTTCAATGCCTCAAATGCCAAATCCAACCTCTCCAGCTCTTCCATGGCGTTCTCATTGTACATGAAAAGACCGTAGTATAAATCAAAGCTATCACTGCTTGTGTTCTCCACCAAATTTAGTAAACAACATAAACGAACGACAAGTTAAACATAAAAAAATGAAAAAAAAAAATTGCGAACAGAAGCACATGTGCATCGCTTCGAAATTTAAAGAATTTTATAAAATCGCAAGCACTACAGTAGGAAGAAAGCATTACCATGTGAACACCGGTGAGAACGTAATTGAATATGAGAACAAAGTAGCGACATCATGTTACAAATGAAACCATTATTCTAAAGTTAAGCTCTCATCATTTGCCAATCCGTTGCACTTCCGGATTCTCTGTTTCCTCACCGCTGCCTGTGAGACAATTTAGAGAGAAAATTGTGTTGTGTATCTCACCAAAGGAACAAAACTACACAGATAATATTATGCCGTTCAACTGTATGATTTCTCACCCCACTAATAACCTAACCAACAATCTAACAAACTAACATAACCAAGCCCAAAATGGAGCTAAGGAAAATGGGCCTAAGAGACTAAAATAACTAATGTACAAAAGCAAGTATATATAGCCCAATATATATGAGCTTAAAACGATTCATATTTTTCTTCTTTGATTCATTTTTTGCATTCATCCTTAGTAGAATTCATGGACGTCTTTCCTTTTTTTTTTCCATCATTTTTTTCAATACGTTCACACACTCTCAAGCCAAAAGCAGCCATGCTGAGCTTGGTGCGAAGATCATTGAACAAAGATCTTGGAAGCGCTTTAATGAAGATGTCAGCGAGTTGCCGCCTGCTTCCAACATGCACTGGTAAGATGGACCCAGTCAAGTAATGGTGTTTGACCAGATGACAAGCAATCTCTATGTGCTTGGTTCTCTTATGAATAACCGGATTTTGAGCAATGTGCAAGGCTGATTTATTGTCACAGTGTAAGGGAATTGGTTGAACCATAAGGATGATTAAGGCTTTTAGCAAATATGAGATCCATAACAGCTCACTGGTGGTAGTGCTCATACTTTTATATTATGCTTTTGTGGAGGAAATGCTTACAATAGCTTTTTCTTAGCTTTCGAAGAAATAAGATTTGGACAAGGAATATGCAGTACCTTTGGGTCAAAATCTTACTCAACCTAACATAATTATGCAAGGTAAAAGCTATTCAAATGATTAACTTTTGAACTTCCACCGAATATATCGGCATTTCTTTGAGTATTTTCCATTGAACCTTGACAACTCCAAAATCCCTTTCAATGCACCTCCTTAATAAAGAATGATAGTAATTGAAGGTCTCTCGATAGCCCCTTGGACCATTGCCATGAAAATCTGATTGATGGTACCTTATCTTCGAATATGGCGTCAAAAAGCCATCTCTTTCTGGGTAACCTTTGTCTGCCATATAATATTTTCCTAAAATTATATATTAAAACAATTGTTTCTAAATGAACAAACAAAAGCAATTTTTTTTTAAAAAAAAAACATTCATTGATTGTGTCTAGAAATATCCGTGCATCATGTGAAGATCCTTCCCAACCAGTCAAAACACAAGTAAATAATAAGTTGAAATCACATATGGCAAGAACATTCATAGGTGGTGATCCTTTTCTCCTTCTATATCGTAGTTGTATTTCTTCTGCAACAACGACGGTAATATGTATGCCATCAATAGCTCTGATACAATCCTAACAACATACAAAAAATTTGCAAATGAAACATAAAATTTTGAAAGAGAAATTAAAAAAACTAAAATATTATAAATACCTTGAAATGTGGCATGTATCGAGTATTGTGAATGATATAGGGTGGTATTTCGTGGAATTCAGGATCTCTTGGCTTCAATATATCCCTTGAAAGACCACAAATAGCTTTTAAAACTTCTTTAAAGATTGGACTCATAGTTTCTCTAGAATGCTTAAATTGTTTTTGTAAAATGCACAACTTTATCATTAGAAAATGAGGATGTAGGAGCATTCATAGCGCTCAGTGATTGAAAAAATAAAAAAAATAAAAAATGAAGTCATCAAGTCATTTATATTTATAATTGACTATAAAGTTTGGTTAAGCTTTTCATTGATGAACACTTTTTCCTCCCATTCTCTTAGTTGAACTAGTCTTTGCAATCATTTCACATTCAATGTCACTTCCAACTTTTTCCAAAATCGACATTCTGTTTGAAGCTCTCAATCTATACTTACTTTATAAATCAAAGCAAACTTATCGAAGTGTATCTTGAGTCATTCTAAAAGTATTAAAACGTCATTTTTCATGTCCACTTAATAATTCATTCATTCATCTTTAGCCAGTAAAGTATGAAGTGAAACATGGTTCTTTGTATAAGTAATTAATATAATAATGCATAAGACAACCAATTGCACATGCAATGAATTTCCAATAACTATTTTGAAATTTTTTTACTTGAAAAAGTTGTAGACAAAAGTCTTTATGTTGCAAGAGTCGTAGATGTAATTTTTTTGAGAATTATGTGGTCCATATCTGCAAGTATAAGTTAACAAAAATATATAATAGTAGAAATCATCAAAAATATATAGAGTATTATAATATATAAACAAGTTATAATAATTTCATCAACTTAGAAAAAAAATAGTTATCAAACTTAAATAATCAATGTTCAAAACCTACTAAGCAAAGATACTAGTAAATCACACTGCAAATAGTCATTCTTAGAAATTTTATTAGAAAAAAAAAATAGTGCAAAGATATTTCTACTTGCTCTTTCTCTCACTGTACATAAATTTATTCCATCCAACAATTGCCGCATCATTTGGCATATTAGCTAAAATTAACCGCTTTTGTGGATCTTCGATCATCGTCACAGCAAAGTTAAATTCCGGACTACCAGGTACTAATCACTACCAAAAAAAGGGCTATTCACCACGGGTTGAGAGTCCGTAACAATAAAATCGTAACAAATAGATATATTAGTTACGACAAAATCCGTGACGAAAAAAAAAAACCCGGTCAACGTTTTAGGTTCTGTCGTTACGCAAAAAATATCGTAACAAATAATGAGATGGTAGAATTTGGTCAAAATAACATTAGTTACGTAAAGTGTTCGTAACTACTGGTATTTAATTTTTTATTTTTGGAAAAGTTAAATTAAAAAAAAAAAAAAAGTAAAATACTGGATTGACGCTTTCATTCCAGAAACGATCAAAATGGACAAAAACGCTATATCATCCCACACTTAGACAAATTAGGGCATCTGGTTCATTTCCCTCGTTCGCTTTTCACAGTCGCCCGCGATCCGATTTCCTGTAGCTGCCGACGACGACGCGCGAGGTGAAATCGATCCGTCCCTGGGATCTACTCCGGCGCACCTCACCCAGGTAAGGTTTTGAAGGTAGCTCGAAAAAGATTTTGTATTACGCGAGGTATCTTCGACAAATTAGGGCATAATCTCATTTCTCCCTTGTAGAAAACTCGATCGAGTTTCCTTCCTCTGAACCTGCAGGACGACGAGCATTGTGAAATCAACGGAAACGAGGGATCTACTCCGGCATCTAGGTAAGGTTTTTAAGTTTTCTCCCGAAAGATTTGGTATTACTCCAAAGTTCTTCGCCTCTATCTCGGTATGGATATAGTCTTACATTTTAACTCCATTTGTTTGGGCTTTATCGTGTGTTACATTTGAGGTGAATTTGTATTCCTTTGTCCAGAAGGAGAGTTTTTTTGGTTGAATTTATTTTTTTGATATTTATCTTTAATTTATAGTTAAACACCAAGTGCAATGCTTTACTGTATGTTAAATTTATGAGGTATTTCTTTGTTCTGGTAGCTTAAATGTTAGATTAAAACATATTAGCTCAATCCTCTTGCTAATTTGTTCAGAATACAAAGTAATACATTACGTCAGGAAACTTAATTCGGCTGTTGGGAAGCATTTAACAAGATTTATGAATTGCGAAATACCTCAAGTTGCATGCTTCTTGAATTGCAGTTCAGTTTTCTGATCGTAGGTAATTTACTATCAGATTTCGTTATCCTGCATTTGTAGTATGCGTATACACATACAGTCACCCATACATATATTCATTATAGCATTTCTATAAATTAAGGATAAAATCCAGGGCTTATTTACACTTTGCATTGAGAGTAGGGAGTAGAGAGTAGAGAGTAAAGGATGAGGGCGAGAGTAGTAATGTGAGAAGACGATGATGCAAATGCAGTTTTGGTGGAAACAGATACAGTGAATCTTGTGGCTTTGGTGCTGTGTACTATTCCTATTTGTATCCCTCTAATTGGGGTAGAGAGCCATTTCTGTACCTCTATATATATATGTATATCTATCTCAAAATTCTTATAGTACACGTCTTCCATCTCAATCTCCATCTTCCAGTCCCATATAGATAGATAGATAGATAGATATAGTGGTTGCAGCATACACACGGATGTCCCCCCCATGCTCTCCATGTCTTGTCAATTTCAGAAACTTTTTCACTTCTTTCTCACTCTCTCTTGCTGCTGATGTGTCTATTTGTGACGGCCCAGCATTTGTGACGGGAAATATATCCATATAATACTATTTACATTGCATCTATGGAAGATTTTTAAGTGGTGAGGGCTGCTGATTTTGGTCCATGTGCCTTAATGTTGTGATAAATTATAATGCTAGCGTCATGAAGAGCATCCATGTTTCCTATTATATCGGTGAAGGTTATGTTGTACTTATATGTTTTTGGTTGCATGTTTTGTTGATGGAATCGCATGTATATTATATTGCTAGATGGATAGGAGTTGGATAGACGATGCGAACCATATCTCCGCTCAATATTTGGACGGGGTCAGGGCTTTCTTAGATTTCGCATTTAAAGATCGTAGCTCTGAATCTTGCATCTATTGCCCCTGTACATCTTGCGGAAATCGCTTAACAAAATCTCGTAGAGATGTCTTGCTCCATTGTATTCGTTATGGATTCGACCAAACCTACAAGGTTTGGACTTGCCACGGAGAAGGAGAGGTGAACCCTGCTGTTGCAAACGACAATATGCCAATGCGTTGGGAGGAGGAACTAGAACTTCTATTGCGAGAGTGTGCATATACAGAGCACACCGATCCGGGGCCCAGTGGAAATGAACCTCATAGGGATGACGAAAATGAACATATACATCATGGCAGTAAGGGGTATAGAAAGATGTTAGAAGATGTAGAGAAAGAGCTCATACCAGGGTGCAAGAAGATGAGTAGACTCTCGTTTATCGCACGGCTTTTGCACTTGAAGGTTTTGTGCCACTGGTCTAATAATTCTATTGATTTGCTGTTAGAGCTGTTACGGGATGCACTTCCAGACGATGTTGTCCTTCCGAAGAACTTCTATGAGGCTAATAAGCTGACCAAGGACTTGGGGTTCACATGCAAGACTATCCATGCGTGCATCAACAATTGCATGTTGTTTACCGGGGAAGATGTTGACCGTGAGGTTTGTGTTGTGTGTGGGGAAAAGCGATTTACACAGGGTAAAGATAGATCTCCAGTGAAGAAGTTAAGGTACTTTCCATTAATTCCGCGATTGCAGCGATGGTACGTATCTTCCAAAACTGCATCTTCTATGAGATGGCTGAGGAGGCTATGGTGGCCGGTCCGGTGCAGTACCGGTGGATGTATCCCATTGAGCGGTACTTGGGTACTCTGAAGAGGTACGTACGGAACAGGGCACAACCTGAGGGTTCGATTGCACGTGGATACCTCATGGAAGAATGCGTGACATTCTGCTCAAGATATCTCGGAGACATAGAGACCAAAGAGAACCGGGCTGCTCGAGGGGAGGAGGACGGGACACAACACGGGAAAGGATTGTTTGGTTCTAGGTTCAATCTTGATTACAATACGATGCACCAAATTCATTGCTACATCCTAGGAAATATAGATGAAATCAGTCCGTTGCGAAGGTTTTTTCACATCAATTTAACAATACTTGTATGCGTATCCGACCTGTGTTGAATATCTTCGACTTTTATTTTTGCACTGTAGGATTCACCTTGATACTATTAGGTCATGTCGAACTCGCGCACCCCCACGTGAGGTGCACCAGCAGCACAACGAACAATTTGCGTCTTGGTTTCAATCATATGTGAGTACCGCCTACATCGTCCGTACGTGGTATCTTGACTACACTCCCAAAAAACATTGAAATCACGAGTGTTCATGAACTACTTTACATCAAATGTAGGTAGATGATCCGACGAATAATGATGAGTGCCCAATCTCAGCGGAGATCCGTGCATTGGCGGGTGGACCATTATGCAATGCAACACGGTACTCTTCGTGCATTGTGTCAGGAATACGCTATCGTGTTCAAGACCGGGATGCAAGGAAGAGGACACAGTGTGCAGGTGTTATGGTTACGGCAGATACAGTGAGTTATGCCTCAGCTAGGGACCATAACCCACGAGAAGGTTCCGTGGCATATTACGGGATTCTTACGGACATTGTGGAAGTGTACTATAGCAATCAACAGAAGTATCTCCTTTTAAAATGTGACTGGGTGGATCTGGAGAGGGGCGTTAAAGAGGATGAGTTCAAATATAAATGTGTGAACTTTAAGTATTTGATGTACCCCAAGAACTTGCCCACGGATGAGCCTTTCATCTTAGCGACCCAAGCCTCTCAGGTGTGGTACATTGCAGACCCGGTTGATGAAGGTTGGAGCGTTGTCGTTCCGGTGTCACGGCGAGACACGTATGACGTGTATAGTACGATCGATCATAGATTCAGCACAGGGTTACCTTTAGATGACGGAGGCAATGTTAGAGGAGCAGCCGATTACTGGCTAAGGGAAGGTATTGAGGGGCAAGTAGTAGAAGATGCAGGGCAGATGGACCATGCCGATACTTCGCCTTCGGATTCGGAGGAATCCTCCGAAGATGATGGTGCTTAGCGCAGAATCAAATAAGCGGGCATTTTTGGTAGTATGCGAATATAGCCTAATTGGCCCATTTTTGATGGTTTGGCAACCACGCAACCTTTTTGAGTTCGCAGTTCAGAATAAATTACACATCTCAACAGATGGTCATCTATGTGGGGAGGGGGGGTCGGTGATTGAAGTACGTAATAGGTAACCACTTTCGGACATGCATGCCATCGTTCATAGGCCCTGTTTTCGCTTGATTTGCTGAAGCACTTTGCATCCATTATGCGCGCGCAGGATGTTATGATTTTTTCCGAATATGTCAACGCGGATAAGCTCTTTACCCCCCTTTGCGTATGCTGAAGCAATTTACCCTGATTAATTGCAGTAACTATTATGTGAATTTCTCGTAATATGTCACTTCATAAGCTTTGTTGTGATAAGTGTGTTTTGATTTTCTCCTAATATACGTTTTCATACTGCCAACTAACACTGGTGTCTTGCAGGTTATGGGCAAATCTCAACGTGCTGCCGTTGGAGGGTCACCGGATCCGGCAGTCTCTCCCGCAAGACGTTTTACCCGGGCATCCGCACGTAACAGCCCCCTAGAGGCAACTCATCCCGCAAGCAGGAATCCATCGCCCATCTGCAATCCCACAAAGAAAGTGACAAAACGGAAGGGATCTCGGGTCTCGCCACTGCTCCAGCGACTCCGGTCCATCACATCAGAGTGGGAGAAAGAGCGCGATGCTCGTGGTCAAAGCATGAAGCCAACATCTTCCACTCGAAGGGCAGTGCTTCAGGATTCAGAGGGCCCTTTGGAGGTAATGTGGTTCCTTTGCCGAAAGCATGTCCTTATTTGAACTCTCAGTATAACACTACAATAGGCTGACACTGTTAACCCCAACAGGAACATGATGATAGGGATGTTCCATCACTTTTTGATCCGACGGCACTGACACAGGATGACGATGATACAATCCCCCCCACACAAGCAGATGACGAGACACTTCCGCCGACGCAGGACATGGAGACTGCAGAGAGTGATATGCCACTCTTGGATGAAGGGCCAGGCTCCGACCCCACTCTGATGACAGGAACAGAGGCGGGCAATATGGCACCATTGGACGAGATGACATCGCACGACGGTTTGGAAATTAGCCTTCAAAGATTACCGATTACATTTAGTGACTTCATATTTTGCATGTAATATCCTTATTAGAACATGTAATCTCCTGTTTGTGTCAGCTGGTTCGTCAAAGAAAAAGCAGGGGAGAGGGGCGGCACGAATGCCGCGTGGATGGGGAAAAGATCACAGGATGCTTGTATTCACATCGCCGGATGGTAAAAGCATCGTCGGACCCGACGTAAACGAGTACAAGACAGCCATTGGGGTCATTGCACGCAACGGAGCTCGACTTCCTCTACATTACCCCACGTTCGCTGAGATACCGGAGACGAAGAGACAGGGTGCATGGATGGAGGTTCAGGTGATGCAAACTTCATTAAATTGAAAGTTCTTTTATTTCATATAGATTCTTATATATGGCCCTACCATCTTCTCCGGACCTGGTGGAAACCGTGTGAAACGGCATTCCAGAGTAACAGCGGATTACCAGACTCAGCGGAGAAAGTGGTCTTGGCTGACCTAAGGGAAGTTTGGAGGCACTGGAAATACAGCATCAAATCAACTTACTTCAATCCGATCGAGGACGATGAAGAAGCACTGAAGAAGGTTCCCTCAAGCAGGATTGTGCCCGATCAGTGGCCGAAGTTGGTTGAGTATTGGCGCGACGAGAAGGTGAAGGTACGCATAGGGACATGCCAAATTAATATACGTTAAATCTGCACGGGCATGGACTGAGAACTAAATAACTTTGCTTGACGTAGCTTCAATCCAAGAAAAATGCGTCGAACGTAGCGAAAAGAAGCTTTCCACATCGTACTGGGCGGAAGTCATTCACGACTCTGGCAGATGAGGTACCTTTTATTACAATTAAGTAATTAGTCATGTCATGCTCCATCCCCATATTTTCCTCTCCTGTATTTCATTATGTTTTCGATGACAGAAGGCCTTGTATTGCTGCAGATCAAGGCAAAGGGGAAGGACCCCGACATCTGGAGATTTGGATTTCCAGTCGCACACAAGGCAAGGGAAAGGATGACCAAGAAACCGAGGAGATATTGGTAGAATAAATTCGTTCCCAACTTAGTTACAATTCAGTCAGTATTTACATCTCTAACAACAAGAGCAAGTTCGGCCTCACTTAAATCTTTCCTGTAGACTTATTTACAGAATGAGCTAAACAAGGTTCCCCCTGAAGGGCGGGAGACTCTGTACCGACGGGCCCTTGGGGGAAAGATTAAGAAGCGGTCAAAGGTCGACAGTGCGGCAAGTTCAGCTCATCCCCGCAGCGAGTCAACTGGTTTAACAGACAGTGTAGCATTCCAGCATGGGTGGGAACAACTACAGAATGGAATGGAGGAGCTGAAGGCAATGATGGATGAGTTCAAAACCATCAAGGCTGATGTGTATGCATTCATGCACAGAAACTCCGGAGCGGTTACTGGCCAGGCAGTAAGTATTCATAATCCCTGACCTGTTTGGTATGAGTATCCCATGAGATTTGGATGGCGAAGGAATTTACCATCCTCGGCATGTTATATGATAGGGCACATCTCGTATTGATTCAGTCCCTGAGATTCCCAGGCCTGTGTCCGAGCCAAGCATGACGGTATGATTCCGTGACGCCCTGGAGTTTCTTAGAAATCAGTGCAGTGTCTAATTTAGGCTACTCTTGACTGCGTACTACCTTATCCAACTCATATGCCCTGTCTGTTGTAGGTCGGCACACATGTGCTTCTATTATCCCGCACCGGTGAGAAAAAAGTTGTTGCAGAGGGACTTCTGCTCTGCCCCCCTGGGCCAGGTTGGTCCGGTATCTTTGAGGATGTTTAATTAAACTTTTAATATGCCTCAGCGAGATATCGTAGGTTTTCGTGACTGTTCAGGCCTCATATTGCGTATTAGCATGGATTCACTAAGTGTAGAAGTATACAATGATACGATCCGTGGATTTCCAAAGCGATGTAGACTGTTAATGTAGGGGTGGTAAAATAACTGCTATTATGACGACCCATGTTTATTGAAGGATGTTTGGTTTAAAGATCAAGCTGCAATTACATAGGAAATTAGGGTATAATGTGCTTCGCTACCTAACTCATGAATGTAATACCATGTACTGTACGACATGTCTGAATGTACGTACTCCTCTTGTTCTAGTTCCAAAGTATTACACTTATAATGTCTGTGTTATGACATGTTATATATACAGTTCGAACGTCTGTTGATATATATGCTTGAATGTAATCAAAAATTGCTCTTGTGAATGCTGTAGGTGACACACTTTCCTTGGTCAAGGTCTTCGTGACATCCGCGTCAGTCCCGGACACACCCCTTATTTTGCCGACCATTTCTGGGGCGACTACCCTTCGCGATGTCGTCGGCGAAGATCCTATTGAGTGGAGCTACAAGGACGTAAGGATCTACTTTAATACCTTTCTTGTATTGCCTTCCGAAATTTATAAGAAGTATGACTTAAAGTAATCTCTGTGTTGGCAATTGCAGCTCATGCGCCGGGCTTGAAATGTTGGTACCGATACACCCATGTTAATTGCCCCGTTTGTCATATGGATTGAATGTCGAACCTGTCTTTGGATGGATTGTGTTGAGTTTTTGTTGAACTATGTCTGGAATTGATGCGTAGACCTTTGTGGTTTGAATTCGTATGGTGAAAAATGTGCCTAATGGGATTGATGGATAACCGTATTTGCTTATTGCGTTGTTTACTTGTGTTTGAACTGTTAAGCACGTTTTGCGGAACAGGTTGTTGATGTGTAGATACTAGTAGGCTTGTTCTATGGGTTGCTTTACTTTGTTGGTAGGTATGGAATTCAGATTTTAATATGAATTAATGTTTGCGCGGGGCGTAATGATGATGATGTTTATAGCAATCTTTGTATTCGTAATTTATTTTCGTATCATACGCATCACAGCAGGTCCATTTGTTACGAACAATTTCAATTGCAGCGTACCCCCTGTTTTTCACAATACGCTATTTTTCCGTAACAAAAGGCCAGAAAATCGTTACAAAAAGTGGTCTTTGGATATTTGTTGTTACAGACGGTTTCGTGACTATAAGTAGGTAATATTTTTTTTACGGGGTTCAATGCCGTTACAAATAGTCGTAACAAAAACCAAGTTCTGACAACCGGTCAATGGAAAACACTTGTAACGCGAGGAACTTCCGTAACAAATACCGTAACTAAAAGTCCTGCCACACGCGCGGAAGGATCTACCTTTCGTTACGAGAGAAAATTCGTAACAAACATCGTAACAAATACCATACTTCAGGGAGCGTTGACCGATCGTAATAGTTACGAAAAGTGGCGTGGCAAAAAACATTCGTTACGCGAGTACACATTACGGAAAAAAGTCGTAACAAAGGCGTAGCAAATACGCAAATTGCACGAAATATGGCTTTTTGTTACGATTTTCCGGCCGTAATAGAAAACAGTTTTTTTGGTAGTGAATTCTTCAAAAGTGCACAACTTTGCTAGCGCATCTGTAACACTGATAACTTCTTTATCATTAGAGAATGAGGATGTAGGAGCATTCATAACACTCAGTGATTAAAAAAATGAAGTCATAAGTCATTTATTGTTGCAATTAACTATAAAATTTGGTCAAGCTTTTCATTGATGAACTTTTTATCCTCCTATTTTCTTAGGTGAACTAGTTTTTGCAATATTTTCACATTCAATGTCACTTCCAATTTTTTCCAAAATCGAAATTATGTTTGAAGCTCTCAATCTATACTTATTTCTAAATCAAAGCATACTTATCGAAATGTATCTTGAGTCATTCTAAAAGTATTAAAACGTCATTTTTCATGTCCACTTAATAATTCATTCATCCATCTTTCGCCGGTAAAGTATGAAGTGAAACATAGTTCTTTGTATAAGTAATTAATATAATAATGCATAAGACAACCGATTGCTCATGCAATGAAATTCCAATAACTATTTTGAAATTTTGTTACTTGAAAAAGTTGTAGAAAAAAGTCTTTATGTTGCAAGAGTCGTAGATGTAATTCTTTGAGAATTATGTGGTCCATATCTACAAGTATAATTTAACAAAAATATATAATAGTAGAAATCATAAAAAATATATAGAGTATTATAATATATAAACAAGTTATAATAATTTCATTAACTTAGAAAAAAATAGTTATCAAACTTAAATAATCAATGTTCAAAACCTACTAAGCAAAGATACTAGTAAATCACACTGCAAATAGTCATTCTTAGAAATTTTATTAGAAAAAAAAAATAGTGTAAAGATATTTCTACTCGCTCTTTCTCTCACTGTACATAAATTTATTCCATCCAACAATTGCCGCATCATTTGGCATATTAGCTAAAATTAACCGCTTTTGTGGATCTTCGACCATCGTCACAACAAAGTTAAATTCTTGACTACCAGGTACTAATTTTTCGAAAGTGCACAACTTTGCTAGTGTATCTGTAACACTGATAACTTCTTTATCATTAGAGAATAAGGATGTAGGAGCATTCATAGCGCTTAATGATTAAAACAATGAAGTCATAAGTCATTTATAGTTGCAATTGACTAGAAAATTTGGTCAAGCTTTTCATTGATAAACTTTTTTTCCTCCTATTTTGAACTAGTTTTTGCAATCTTTTCACATTCAATGTCACTGCTTTCAAGACTTCTATTTCCTTTGTTTTTTGTACCATTATTACTTGATATACCGATGCAAGTAGAGGTAGATTCTTTCCAAATATTATCCCACACACTCAATAGAATTGTTCTAACTAGTACTATTATTTATCAGATCATCATGATGATCACACGATAAATCAATATGTGATGTGTCACCAAATATTGAGTAATCAACATTAATAGTACGTGGTGAAGAGGATATATGAGTTCTTTTTTCTTTACCTTGTGAGCAATCATACTCAAGAGTGTACTTATATTCTCTTGTCGCTGGTGAGTGAGTGAAAATAAAATCCATTTTAGATTCGGGCTCAATCCCTTCTTATCACAAGGTTTTAAAATTGTCATTTTCTTATAAACAATATACAATAAGGTATTTATGCTTTAGAAAATTTTATAAAATAAAATAAAATAAAATCCTAACCTGAATTTTAATATTCCACTACTCATCAATCGCACATACTATTTTTTGTTTCATGATCCCATTTTAAACCAGTTTATTTTCCTTTTAATTTTTTCCAAAGACTCTATCTTGTTCTCATCCAATCATACTTGTTTTTCAATTTTTTTTCCCCAACTTTTATGTGTTATTTTGTAGAAATCTTTCTTGTAGTTTTTTTCATGGCATTTTTGTGAGATTATTGCACCTAATTTTCCTTCATTTTTGCTAAATCATTCAATGCACAAACCAATAAATATATAAAGATCTGATGTTGTCCAATTTACTCTTCCTGAGTCTTTTCCTTTACCAAAATCTCCTCCATAACTATTTTTTTGTCAACGACATCTAATAATAATAATAATAATAATAATAAACTAAACTTTACAAAACTAATTAAAATATACGTAAAATAAAATTATAAAAAATTAGTGAAAAATAAATAAATAAAATTTGATTTTATTTATATTAAGCTAATGAGGCTGGATTGTAGCAAACTAACTAATTAATAAGTTAATGAAACATGTAGCATGAAACATGAAAATACGTGTTGTATAAATTTATTGCACCTAGTCCATATTTGACGTGTTGTTTCGGATGTTCCACTATTCTTCCACAATAAAATATTTATTATGTTATTTTCTTCTTCAACATTCAGTTTCATTACTTATTTAGTATTCTTTCTTGGAGTGGCAAAGAATAGCATGCAACTATCTCTTTTAATTATGCTTCATGTTTCGTTTATTTGAATTCATAAACAACTTTCTTTTTTTACTACCAAACATAATATATATATAATAAGGCATAAAAGATCAAATACTTACAACATCAAAAAAATTCAAATATGTCCAACAGAAAGTCCTAAATAAAACTCAATCACAATTAACACATTATATTAATTTTTCTTCAAGCAACTGGAAACGAGGATAAGCTTTCTTCAATCTCCTAGAAATAAGGATAAATTTTCTTCAACCTCCTGGAAACAAGGATAAAATTTTTTCAATCTCCTAGAAACGAAGATAAACTTTCTTCAACCTCCTGGAAACGAGAATAAACTTCTTTTAATCTCATAGAAATAAGGATAAACTTTCTTCAATCTTCTAGAAACAAGGATAAAGTTTCTTCAACCTCCTAGAAACGAGGATAAGTTTCTTCAACCACTTGGAAATGAGAATAAACTTTCTTCAATCTCCTAAAAACGATGATAAACTTTTTTCAACCTCCTGCAAACGAGGTTAAAGTTTCTTCAATCTACTAGAAATGAAGATAAAGTTTCTTCAATCTACTAGAAACGAATATAAACTTTCTTCAACTTCCTGGAAACGAGGATAAACTTTCTTTAATCTCCTAAAAACGAGGATAAACTTTCTTCAACCTCTTGGAAACAAGGATAAACTTTCGTCAATCTCCTAGAAATGAGGATAAACTTTATTCAATCTCCTAGAAATGAAGATAAACTTTCTTCAATCTCCTAGGATCGGGGATAAACTTTCTTCAACCTCCTGGTAACGAGGATAAACTTTCTTCAATATCCTAGAAACAGAGATAAACTTTCTTCAACCTCCTGAAAATAAGGATAAACTTTTTTCAATGTCCTGAAAACGAGGATAAACTTTCTTCAATCTTCTAGAAATGAGGATAAACTTTCTTCAACCTCTTGGAAATGAGGATAAACTTTCTTCAATCTCCTAAAAATAAGAATAAACTTTCTACAATCTCCTAGAAACGAGGATAAACTTTCAATAATCTTCTAGAAACGAGGATAAACTAAATACAATGTCCTAGAAACGAGGATAAACTTTCTACAAGACTCCTTTAACACGAGAATAAATGTTTAACACAAACAAACAAATTCAATTTGTTTTGAACTACATTACGATTTGATTCCTTTATCGGATACGTATGCAACTTTTAATATAACTCCGAGTTCAGTCAATTATGTCAAAAAAAAAACCTAAAAAATAAATTGGGCAAAGAAAAAGAAAAACCCTAAAAAATAATCTGGGAAAAAAAAGGCATTCGAAAAAAAAATTATTTGCTAAAAAAACACAAAAAATGATAGCCATAAAAAATGGAATTTCAATTAAAAAAAAAAATGACTTGAAATTTCGAGACTTATTCAAGCTTCAAACGCTTTGTGTCAGTTTAAACAAGTCTCGAGGGGCATTTTGTAGGCATTAAAAAATAAATGCCTAAATTAATTAAATATCTCATATATTGGAAGAAAATAAAATTCTGATATAATAAATGTGTGATATTTAATTATATGCATATATGTTAATTTTTGTACAAGAAATATCAACTATTAATGCAAAAATCTGCTTAAAATGGAAAATATCGTATAAATATTACGTGCATAAATAGAGTCATAATGAATTTAGCAGCAAAATAAAATTAATCTCGTCAATAAATGAAATATTTAAATTAATATCTTTCAAGAAAGGAAATGATATAAAGATCTTGGCGAGAAAAGAAGACGCACAATCAAATCCTTAAAAAATGGAAAACGACATCGGATGGAAAATGAAAGATTATAAAAAAATTTTGTTGGCCAATCATGACGCGCCACGTGGCATCGTTAAAAAAGGAAGACGAGGCCACCCCTCCCCTATAAATAGGGGCCTTGACCAATTCATTTGACACACCGAAGTTCATTTGAAAACTCATGCAAGGGTAAGTCTCTCTAGACTCTTTCAAATGTTCTTCATTGATTTTCGTGTCCTTCGAAGCGTTCTTCATCGAAAAGTCACTGATTTGGACAAATGACCCAATATTGGTTGATGAATCGATGAAGTTAACGTTCTTTGTCGTATGCCCAAGCCGGAGGAAAAATCAAAGCTCCCAAAGCCATTGACTTCGTCAAAGGCAAGGGAAAGTCTCCAAAGTGTCTCCCAAAGCTTCAAGATCTTCATCACGTTCTTCACCAAAGCATCAACCCTGCCCTCTTCAATCCAAAAGTCAAAGGAACACGCCGCCAAAAAGCGTTATGGAGCATCAAATCTACCTTCTCAAAGATTAATGCTTTGGATCGTCCAAAGAAGACATCAAATCCAAATTCGACAATCAAATTACCCACACAGAGACCAAAGCCCTCCAAAAGCCGGCAAAGCCAAACCAAATATCAATGTCTGGATCGTCCAAAGAAGACATCAAATCCAAAGCCGATAATCAAATCACCCACACGGAGACCAAAGCCCTCCAAAAGCCGGCAAAGCCAAACTAAAGATCAAAGTCTCGATCGTCAAAAAAGACATCAAATCCAAAGTCGATGATCAAATCGCCCACACGAAGACTAAAACCCTCCAAAGTCCGGCAAAGCCAACTGAAGACCAAATTCCTTCGGATCGTCCAAAAAGACATCAAATCCAAAGTCGACGATCAAATCGTCTACACGGAAAACCAAAGCCCTCCAAAGTCCGGCAAAGCCAACCGAAGACCAAATTCTTTCGGATCGTCCAAAAAGACATCGAATTCAAAGTCGACGATCAAATCACCCGCGTGGAGACCAATGTCCTCCAAAAGTCCGGCAAAGCCAAACCGAAGACCAAAATCTCTTCAGATCAAAGAAGCCAACCAAGTCCAGGTTGGAAAACAAATCGACCCGGAAAGAGAATCAAATTACTCATTTAGAGAATATGACCCCCTTTAAATTCAAATTATATACAACTTGTACAAATTTTGTTTTTATTAAAAATAACACAACTTTTTGTCTACGGCTGGGATAGGCAGCGTTTCAAAAATGAGCATTTTAGGCCCAATAAGCTATTTGAAAAAGCTAATTTACCAAACACATGGTTGTGTTTACTTGTAAGATTTTACCTTTGATTTTACAATTCTAACTTTCTTTTCCCTTCAAAACCACCAAATCAAACATCCAATTTTTATTTATTTTATTACATTAGAATCTTATTTTACATTCAAAATATCACATCAAACCACTATTTTAATTCAAAATTTTACTATTGAAAATAAAAACTCAAAACCAAAAACTCACAAGTAAACACACCCATAATTAGTTTTTTGACTTATCAAACAGTTAAAAGTTAATCAATAAGTTAAAAAGCTAATCAATAAGCTAAAAGCTCTCTAAAATGCTCTTTTCGAAACACCCTCGTAATCTAACTTAAGAAATCATAATATTTAAAAATAATCACAAATTCTTTTCCAAAAATCATAAATTAGGTTAGGGCAAAATTAGAATTTCTAACCCATTTCACAAAATCATTCACTTTTCCACTCAAATCACCGTAAAGACTCCATATTATCCTAATAAACTTTCTAAAGAGAAAATAAGAAAATCCAATATTTTAGAACAGATCTATTAAAAAATAATTTGAAAAATATCGCAACGAATCAACAAGTGGGTCTAGAAATTATAACATATCATTTATCTAAAATTAATCTCATTTACCTTAAGAGAAGAACCCAAGAAGATAAGCTTTGGTGGAAGAACTTGCCAAGGAAAAAGAAGTTGCGGCTGTAGCTGCGAGAGATAAACACGTTGTTGCTGCTCATTTCTGTTCTCTGCTCTCTCTTTTCTCTCTATTTTTTTTTTAAAAAAATAGACATGGGTCATATTTCATTCATTTTAATACAGTTGGCCCAAACACCTTCAATTTTAATCCAATTTCATCTTTCTTTATACCAAAAACTCAAAATAAATTAAGCTCCAAAAATAAAATTAATCCGACTTCGGCTCAAACTCCAGCAATTTCCTGTGAACTTTCGACTATTATTTTTTGGGGTATTACATCCTTCCCCTCTCAGGACATTTCATCGTCAAAATCAATCTACATGCCAGGAGCTATCTCGAACAACTTCGGATACTTTTCTCGTTTTTCTTGCTTAGTTTCCCATGTTGATTTTTCAATCTTATGCGGTGACCAAACTACCTTCTTCATCTTTATATCATGGTTCCGTGTCGATCTAACTTCGAAGCCACAATCTGAATGGATCGCTCTGCATTCACTAAATCCTCATATACCTAAAAAACTTCCAATTGAAGTATATGAGATAGATCTGCCACATATCTCCTCAACTGGGAAACATGAAAAACATCAGAAACCCTTTTTAATGTCTCTAGAAAAGCCAACTTGTAGACAACTTCTCCAATTCTTTCAATGATCTCATAAGGCCCCACATACCTCGAACTCAATTTTTCCTTTATACCAAATCTCCTCACGCCCTTCGCAGTGATACCTTAAGTAAAATATGATCACTGACCTCAAAATGTCCATCTCTCCGAGCAAGGTCGGCATAGCTCTTCTGGCGATCTTTGGCAACTTTCATTTTAGCCTTAATGTCACGAATCTAATTCGTCATCTCTTTGATCATCTCGGGTCCCAATACCCACCTTTCACTTAGGTCATTCAAACACAATAGCTTTCTACACTTCCTCCCATGCATAGCCTCAAATGGTGCAATCGCAATCGTTGTTTGATGGCTATTATTATAAGAGAACTCTACCAATGTTAACTGATCCTCCCATCGACCATGAGAATCCAACGCGCATGCTCGCAACATATGTTCTAAAATCTGAATAGTGCGCTCAGTTTGCCCATTGGTCATCGGATGAAAGAATGCTCATCCTTAACCGAGTACCGAAGTCCTATTAGAGCTTCTACCAAAAATCTGACTATAAACGAGGGTCACGATCCGAAACAATCACCTCCGGAACTCAATACCTCTTCACTACGTGTTGGAAATTTATCAACTTTTGCATGCTTCAAGTCATGCTTATTGGGATGAAAATTGTTTTGTTTGTCAATTAATCAACAACCACCCAAATGGCATCCACGCCTGATCTCGACTTGGTAATCTAGTCACAAAATCCATCACAATCGAGTTTCATTTCAATTCCGGAACCTCCAAGGATCTCATCAAATCTATAGGTCTTTTATCCTCCGCCTTGATCTTTTGATAGTTCAAACACTTGGCAACATAGTCCGCAATGTCTCTTTTCATAGCGCGCCACAAAAAATGTTCCTTCAAATCTTTATACATCTTATCACAATCTGGATGCACTGAATATGTAGAACTATGAGCCTCTTTAAGTATTTTCCCCTTAATATCCAATCGCCCCTTTGGCACACACCATTTGTTTCGAAATCTTAGACTTCCATCATGACCAATATGAAAATCTCTTACTTCACCTTGTTGCACCCTCATCATCAACTTAAGCTTCCTAAATCTCCCTCAAAATTTTGAGCTCAACTGACAAGGCACTCATATATCCTTCAATCACCTCAGGACTCACTACCTCAATATGTAGCTTCTCAAACTCGTGACACAACTCCATAGGTAATGTTATCAAACATACGTCATGACGTGACTTCCGGCTCAGACGTTCGCCCTACGTTCCTGATATAAAATTTTCAAAAGTCCTTCACCAACTCCAACTATCTCCGGTGCCTCATATTCAGCTCCCTTTGAGTGAATATGTATTTCAAACTCTTATGATCGTTGTAAATTTTGCAATAAACTATGTAAAGATAATGCTGCTATATCTTGAGAGCAAACACTACAGCTACTATTTCCAAGTCATGAGTCGGATTGTTCTCTTGATGCGGTTTGAGCTGCCTCGAAGCATATGCGATCACCATTCCATCTTGCATCAACACACACCTCAATCCTCGTCTTGAAGAATAATAATATACATCGAACTTCCATCTATCTATCGGCAACGCCAACACTGGTGCAACCAATAACCTCCATTTCAATTTTTGAAAAGTATGCTCGCACAAGTCATTGCAAACCACTTTGACATTTTTCTTCAACAAGGATGTCAATGGTCTTCCCAATCCTGCAAAGTCTTGCACAAACCTCCGATAATATTCGGACAACCCCAAGAAGCTCCTAATCTCTGTCTGCATCTTTTGTCGGGGCCAATTTTCAATAGCACTCACCTTTGATGGGTCGACCGAAACATCATCCCTAGAAATAACATGCCCCAAGAATGCTACTTCATTCAACAAAAATTCACACTTCGACAATTTAGCATACAACTTATGCTCCCTCAATATCTGCAGTACTAATCTGAGGAGATTCGCATGATCCTCCTTGCTGGAAGAATACACCAATATATCATCGATAAAGACTATAACAAAATTATCCAAATATGGTTTGAAGACTTATTCATCAAGTCCATGAAGGTAGCTGGAGCAGCCGTCAACCCGAATGACATCATCATAAACTCATAGTGCCCAAAACGAGACCGAAATTCAGTCTTTTGAATATCTTCATCTAAAATCCAAAGCTAATGGTATCCCGACCTCAAATCTATTTTCGAAAATATGCTTGCTCCTTTCAGGTGATCAAAGAAGTTGTCAATCCTTGGAAGATGATACTTATTCTGAACGGTAACTTGATTCAGTCCTCAATAATCAATGCACAATTGAAGACTATCGTCCTTCTTCTTAACAAACAAAATGGGTGCTCTCCAAGGAGAGTTACTTGGCCGTATATACCCCTTATCCAACAGCTCTCGAAGTTGCTCATTCAATTCGGCCAACTCCTTTGGTGCCATACTATAGGGAGCCTTAGACATCGGTTCAGCCGGAAACTATCTCAATCATGAAATTTATCTCATGGTGAGGCGGCATCCCCGATATCTTATCAGGAAATATATCTGCAAACTCCTTCACCACCGGAATGCTCAAAAGCTGATATTCATCCCTCAAAACATCATGGACCTCACAATGGAACAAGTGATATTTAAGAGTCAACTCATGCATAGAGATGGTGGACACCATCTTGCCTCATACACAACTTCCACACTGTAAGGACTATGAAGAGAAATCTTCATCCCACCACAATCTATTCGTGCTTGAAAATCCAGAGCATAGGCAGCCAACTCATTAAATCGCATGAAGTACTCCTCCAATGTCATATTACCCTACACCAAAGCACTAAATTCATCCTCCTTTGCTCTCTGAAGGTGTGGGGATAAAAGTGCGTCCGTATCATCCCTTTAAAGATCTCCCATGGTAACCCAATTGCTAAGTGAAACTTTCTCATTATTCCACCACTTTTTGTCCAATCCTTCTAAGTAGTATGTGGCAATAATAGTCTTCACCACCTTAAATATCATCTCCAAACGATCCAACCATTCTCCCAAAATAGTCGGGTCCGACTGACCAGTAAAAGTCGGAGGACTATGTCGTAACACTGTATCCATGACACTCTAGGGTTGCTAAGCAAACTTTCTCATGAATTGACAAAAGAACTCAAATGTCGAGTTTGAAGGTCGAACGGAATCCTGAATTAGAGGCTCAGAGTTTTGGGATTACCTACTCTCAATTTCTTCATTGGACTGAGGAGGACCGACGAACATGTTTATCGGGCATCTGCTAATCAAGATTAGACCCAATAAGATTCAACCAACCTTAACTAATCATCTAGAATAACCAATACACATAAACACAATGAATAAACATAAAATGCAATATATACCATGAATGCACCCAAGTCCAACTAAACCCACGATCTAATTTATTTTATAAATTCCGAAATCTTTCAAGTTTTATTAACCAAGAAGCATGAGCCTTTAGCCTAAGCTCTCATACCAACTGTAACACCTTGGTTGGCTCAAGTAGAAATATCACCAACCACATCAGAAGGCTCTTTGTTAACCAAAAAATTTCACGTTATAGCGCTAAAGCTAAAATACCCAACACAAACAACTAAATAAAAACTAAAAAAATAAAGCGCACCAGTTATCACATATCGAGTCAAAAGCGTAAGCTAAAAATTATTTCAAATTGTCTTCATTCTTAAAACATTAGTATTATATTTCAAAAGCATCCTAAGAGGTGAGATAATCCTAGTTTTCTCCAATGGATCATGTGATGTGGATGCATCATTTAGGCATAACAAAAGCATCATCACCTGCAAAAAGTTTATAGAAAGAGAGTCAACACAATGATTGAGTAAGCACAATTAATCAAAGGTAAATTAATATGATATATGTCATGATTCACAGGTGAATACCACAATCATGTCAAGAAGATAATTTAGATGAAATATTCCCATATCACATAAATACAACTCACACACAAGTTTTTTAATGCATCCCTTATACCTCTCTTATATTCTCAAATAATTGTGATGAACACATTACGAAGAAAACCTCAGTAAACCTTAATTAGGGCCGGCTTGACTTGATTTTACAATCTTATTACTTCGCTTGACTCATCACATAACTACATATAGCAAATATATGGTCACAACCCTCAAGAAAAGCTTGACAATAGGTACATGAAGGTTCGAAGCCCAAAGGACACATAAGTCAACTTATTTATTAGTTTGTGAGGGACGCCAAACGGCCAAACCCTCTAGTCTCCAATATAACATACCGCTAACGGATTCTACGCAATCCATCCCTCCGTCACGGATCACGGTCTAAAGACAATTTCATCGTGAATGACAAGCACCTCGGAATCACCCAAAAAAGAAACCTATCATCTTGATCCCATGACCTAGCCCATTTGAGTTCTAGTTCGAGGTTAACTAGTTATACTAAAATACCGTATACCCCCACGTGTTTGCAAGGAGAAGTGAAAGCATATGCCTTATCATCCTAAACAATTGACGAATTGATCAAACTCGACTGATAATTTCAATTACCAATTTGACTCAATACTCAACATTCCATTAGACAATTCTTTTCTTTTTTTTCAAAAAAAAAAAAAAGAGAGCTTTCAACTCAAAACTTCTCAATTTTCAATATTTAACCAACCAATCAATAAAATCATCGATCAAATAATCATGTTTTGCAACATAAAAGAAAGTTAAAAGAGGGTTTTCAAATTTGCTCCTAAAATCTTATTTTCGTCCAACAACATTTTCATTTAATAACCAAACAAGAAGTTCAATATTAAAAATCCAACAAGTTCATTAAAATCTCACTTTATTTTGCCAAATGATTTTTTTGGACAATGTCTATCCAAATAGGCATAATCTAACTTAAAAAATTATAATAATAGAAATAATCACAAATCCTTTTAAAAAAATCATAAACTAGGTTAGGGCAAAATTAGATTTCTAACCCATTTCACAAAATCCTTCACTTTCCCACTCAAATCACCATAAAGATTCCATATAAATTCTAAAGAACATCCTAACAAACTTTCTAAAGAGAAAATACAAAAACCTAATAATTTAGAATACATTCATTTAAAAATAATTTGAAAAATATTACAAGAAATCTACAAACGGGTCTAGAAATTATAAGATATCATTATCTAAGATTAATCTCACTTATCTTAAGAGAAGAACGCAAGAGAAGAAGCTTTGGTGGACGAACTTTCCAAGAAAGAAGAAGAAGAATTAGACAGCGGTTGGAGATGGTAGAGAAGAACACCCTGCTCCTACTACAGCTTGTTCTCGCTATTCTCTCTATTTTTTTAAAAATATAGACATGAGCCTTATTTCACTTTTTTTAATCCACTTGGCCCAATTTTTGGCCCAAACATCTTTAATTTTAATCCAATTTCATCATTCCTTACACCAAAAGCCCAAAATAAATTAAGCCCTAAAAAAAAATTATCCGACGGACTCTGGCAAGTTCTGAAGACAATTATTTTATAGGGTATTACAAACTTATCAATCAACGGCTAAGTCTAGCCAAATTCAAGGCTTACCCAATGTATCAATCGACCTGTCAATCAATGGATAAGTCTGGCCGAATTTACGGCTTATATAATTTATCTATCGACTTGTCAATCAATGGCAAAGTCTAGTTAAATCTACGACTTACACAATTTATCAATCGACTTGCCAATCAACGGCTAAGTCTAGTCAAATCTACAACTTATACAATTTATCAATCAACCTGTCAATCAACGGCTAAGTCTAACCAAATTCATGGCTTTTGCAATTTATCAATTGACTTGTCAATTAATGACTAAGTCTAACCAAATCTATTACTTACAAAATTCACAAATGACTTGACAATCAACTGTCAGTTTAGCAGACTCATATAATTCATCAAGCGATTTGCCAACCAACAGATAAGTCGCCATGGCTTACATAAATTATCAACCGACTTGCTGATCAACGGCTAAATATAGTTAAATATACGGCTCAGACAATTCATCAGCAATTAATACTATCATACATAACAACTTCACCATGTAGCACATACAAAATATAATCATAATAACCTATTCGATTAAGGCACTTAGTCAAATGGCCTATTCATTTAAGGCGTGCACAATTTACCCCCTTACCTCACTTAGAAAAAACTAACCAACTCAAATATCACTGACTCGTAGAACTTGGTTTGATCGGAGTTCACATAACCACCAAACACAATTAATCAACTTACTCAAATTCTGCACAGATCTTACAAAACTCACCATAAATAATCGTCAGTCTAAACATTATGAAACTAGTGTCAAATCAAAACTAACTTTCTAAATTTCCTTTCAAAGACCAAAAATCATTTGAATTTTATCTAAAATATATCTTAACTCATACAGTCTGGTCAATTCGAAAAAAACATAGCAGTTTTATTATCAAAATCACTAAAAATCCATGAATAGGACATATTTGGTGTCTAACTAAATCTAACATATATATATCTATATTTCTAAACAAACAAAAACACAAAAATAAACTCCAGAAAGAGCAAAAAATTCATTAAATACACTAAACAAACCTTTCATAAAGAAACAAATTTGGGTGTGTTTATTTGTGGGTTTGAGTTTTGGGGTTTGAATATTTGAATAGTAAAAAATTAAATTTAAATAGTTGTTTGATGTGTTATAAATAGATGATAATGTAATGTTTTAAATGTAAAATAAATTTATAGTAAAATATATAAAAAAAATAATTATTTAATTTGATATTTTTTTGAAGAGAAAAAAAAAATGAATAGTAAAAACCTTGCGTAAAATCCACAAAAGAACACAACCAAAATATGTAACTTTAGAAAATTATATAAAAACTCATTTTACATCAAAATGAAACAAAATTGATGTTTAATTGAAGCTAACATATATATCTACATCCCAAATGAAACAAAAATATCATGAAAAAAAAACACCCAAACATTACATAAAATGCATTGAACACACTGCGTTAAGAAATAGAGTGTGTAATTTTCAAAAATCATATAAAATCTAAATTTCTTTACAATAACACATATGATATGTCAAATTGAAGCTAAATTCATAAGGAATCAAAAGATGTTTTAAATATCGTAGACCTATGGTTTAGATAACAAAAATAATTAAAAATAATGCTCAGAAGTAAAAAATCGAATTTTAGGGGTAAAGAAAAAAAAAAGTATGAAGATTTACTCCCAAATCACTTTAAACTTGAGTGGGGGAGAAGGCGGCGGCTCAGGTTTTTTAGGGATGTTTGGGAATATAATGAAAGTAAAATATAAGTGAGAAAGCGAGATTTTCTGTTTAAATTTCAAATAAAAAATATTATGACGTTTTTAAGAAACACATTTGACTATACAATAGACATTTAACTACTATTTTAGCTACAACTCTTTTGTTTGAGTTCAGATTGACTCACCGTTTACAGTGTTTGAAAGATAACATAAAAATATATCCAATGACATTAACTTTATGAAAATTAAATACGAACTCAAAAATAGACCGTCATTTGAGGTCGATGTATTGACAATAACAAATTTAAAATACTCAATTAACAAAACATTTAATGGTTCAACTCAAGTACGGACGACATACAAAATATCAATCTTCTACATACATTTCAGTTTGCAACTTTGACTTAGTGTTCTTACATGCCTCATACAATCACATCAATACTTTAACAAATGCATGATATTTCATACCTTTATATGTTATAGCAAGTGTGCGTAAATAGCAGTGTCTTCTCTTCGGTGATAAGGAGGATAGTGTATTGAATCCAAGCCTTGGGAACAAAAGCAACAAAAAAAGCCGAATGACCGCCGAGAAGAGCAACAACTAAAAAGGTCCGATGTCATAATTAGATTATGTACTTAGGAACTGCATAGCCTTATTAAGACATCAGTACGAGAGCTTTTGATCCATGTCTCCATATTCTCTTTTGGCATGTAAGATTTTGAACAAATTGTTAATGCATTCCACCACTTTCTACTCCCTTCAACATTTAAAGCTCACAGTTTTGAGGGACGTAAAATATATGTCCTTGGTTCACTACAAGAAAATATCATTTTTGTAACGAGATTTTTTTGTCTTTAAATCTACTTTTTCCGTTACTAATGATATTAGAGACGGAATTAATGATGGAATTACGTTAGCTACGTGATCTTTAGGGACGGAATTCCGTTACAAATATACTATTTTTTTTGTAGTGGTTGTATTGTGGTAGTTTTCATTATACCATGATTTTGAGTTCAATTTTTTCCCTGGTTAAGGTAGAAACCTCTATTTCTAACACACACTAGAATGCCAAGCAGGGATGTGCAGTTGTAAAATTTTAGAAATTTAATTCAATATCAACCAATGATTAGGTCTAACACAATGGACAATAATGCTGCCATACTGTATCTACAATTCAATAGTATACCTTCGCTCCTGTCGACAGCATTCTTGTAAAGTGATTTTTCAATTTTGCTGAAGCAGGACAAATTCCTCCCTATGCTTCGCGCAAAGCTAGAGGGGGCTCAACGGAATCCTCGACTGTATATTCCTCAGGACCGTCTCGGATATTTTTGGGACCTTAAGCGAAAAAAAGATAAAAGGCCCTATATACAAATATTTTTTTAAAAAAAAAAAAAATATACTACCAACGAAATATATAATAATAAATTCTACAAAAGTAAAATTTATATTAATCACATATACAATCAATGACATATGTGTTCATAAGACTGCTATGGTGGCCTGTAGGGTCTAGTTCTTGATTATTATAAAAATTGACAATATATTGACTATTATAAAACCAATTGTTCAATAAAGGTAAGGAACATATGTTTAATATTAGAAAAATTTAGTTAAAATTTATTAGAATTAAAATTGGATTTGGTATTAATTTTTAAAAAATTTATGGTTATAGTTTATTAGAATTAGAATTGAATTGGCAATTGTAGTGAAAAATACGAGATAAAAATTATAATAAATTTTATCATATCTAATAATAATAATGGACTTTAAAAATATTTAGAAATTCTAAACAGCCGGGAAGATGGAATTAATTTTTAGAAAAAATTTGGTTAGAGATGAGACAATTTGTTGAGAAAAATATGAGATAACATATAACTTAAATTTTAAAATATTTAATAATAATTTTAAAATTTTGAGTCCTCTTGAAGTAAAGGCTCTAAGCAATTGCTCAGATTGTTTCGCTCAAAACTGGCTCTCATATTCCTTTAAATATACAATAGTTAAAGAAGACTGCAAGATGACATTTCTTTTCTTTTTTTATCACATTCGTATTCTTATCATTATTTCAAATAATTTTTTAACTTTAACAATTAAACTATTATAGCTCCTCCATGCACCAGACTTTCCAAATTCCTTTAGACTTTATTTGTAAAATGCACGCTTACAAGGGGTCATAAGGGAACAGACTAAATACAACTTGGATAGCATGCTGAAATTTCATTATTCAGCACTGCTAAACTAAATCTTAGTCATTGATAAGTTAAATTAATTAAATTATTGTTTTTAACTAAAATAAATGAATGGTTAAGATTAATTCAGCATAAGCTGAATTAATTTAATACATCAGCATAGGATCCAAACTCGACTAAATATTGAATTCACTTATTGCCAATAAATTAGCCAACAAGTCTCTACAAGCATATTTAATAACGCAAAATAAATTGGCAGCGGGGGATGTCAGCGGGGCGGGTTTGGGACGAGTTTTGCAGGCCCCGACACCTGCCTCACTAGAAAATATTATGACTCAAAACCCGTCCCGTCCCACTTCAACCCCACACCAGGACCCATTCCTTGAACCTCTGGGTTCGGAGCCAACCCGACAAACCCGTTTTTTTTTTTTAAGAATAAAATATTTTTTTAAATAATTTAATACTTAAAAAAAATATGCGTAAAAGTATCAAAAAATTATAGTTCAAAAATAAGAAAAATCAAATATCGACGATAGTCCGCAGTAATGAGGTCAACAATAGTCCCTATTATAATTAGAATTATATGAGAAACAAATGCAAAATGAAATTTGATTTAGAATTAAAGTTTTATTTTATATTTAATTTTTTTAAATAAATAAATAATATAATTTATATTGTATAAAAATATAAATAAATTATAATAATTAATAAAATATCCGGGTTCGGATTCGGGTCCCAGAAGGGCGAATTTTTAGTAAAACCTGAACCCAGTAGAGTCTAAAACTCAAAATCTATAACCCATCCCGAACCAAATTTTTTTACCCTAATTCGCCCCATTAAGACCGGATCCGGGGCTACCCCGCCCCATACATCCCTATTGGTAGTCCGCCCAATAATTAATGTCTCAAAACAATTTATATATTAAACACATACATTACAATTTCCGTTTAATGTTTTTGGCAAAATAGATGTCTATATATCCATAGAACTGTTGGGAATAATAGCAATACGCAACAATAAAATTCCCTAATTGTTAAAATATCGCAGGAGCATTAATAAGCCGATTTACGTGGAAAACCTCTCCAATGCAAAGAGGAAAAACCACGAGGCTCTTAAGCCCACCCAAAAATTCCACTATCACAAAAATCAGATCCAAAATCACAACCCGAGATATGGCCTAAATAACAGGGAGTCACCGAAATCTTGATCTCACAAACAACGAAAAAACCGAACAAAAACAGAGCCAAAAATCTGGTTCATTGCCGAATTTTTATCTGAAAATCGGACCGTTGAAAAAAGATCTCCACCGAACAAAATGAAGATATAGATGTCCCCTAACTTCAGTAAAAATTTCAAGCCGATCAGACAACGTTTCCTATGCCGATTGATCCAGTCTCCAAAACTTCGCAGGGAGAAGAACAACTCGGGACTGTTCTGTTTTTCTTTTCGGATATATCACTGTCCGCAGCTGCTGTTGCTGATTATTATTTTCGGGGGTAATTAAGTCATCCAATTAAAACTAATTACCTTTTAAATTTGGGCCTTTAATTCACATGGTTGGGAGCCGAAACCCAACAAGAACGACCCCTCAATAGCACATACTTTTTAAGCAGAAAAGCATAAAACTTAAATTATTAGATCATAGCATTCATACCTTACACTTTATCATCGGTCAACTTCAAAACCTACAAAAATTACCTCCCTGCATCTTGCAAGATTTTAGGTTGTATAGTATATAGGCCGGATAGAACATAAAAATACATCAAAAGCAGCATAGCATACTCTATCTGTTATATAATTTAGGGCATCCCAATTACTCAAAAACTATCCCCTCCAAAGGCTTCTTGAGCTCTTTCCCAAGAACAGCAAGAGCCATGACTTTCAATCCCATATAATTATGTGTCTTACGGTGGACTGGAGACTATTAAAATCTTCATACCTCTCTGGACCATACTTTCGGTTAAACTTATCTACATACTTTGGGTTGGCTAGAAATAGATATTATATATAATCTTTTGAATAGAAAATAAATTATTAGTATAATATTAAAAATAAAATTTATATTTTTTTCGAAAAAATTTTAATTGAATAGTAAAATCCCCTAGAAATACTAAAACAAACACAGCCAAATACTGTCAAATTTCTATTTAAACAAGATTTTTTATTTTATCTAAACTAATAAAATAAATGGGAACTGCAAGAGATAAATTGATATAAAAATAAAGGATATTATATGTATACGAAGAGAGCAGAAAAAAAAAAAAAAAAAATAGTGATGTTCCTTAAGAAAAAACAAGTGGGTTAATTTTTTATCACAAAACAATAAGTATTTAAAAAAATGAGTTTAATATATAAATTATAGTATGTTATGATATTATTTTATTATTTATTATGAAAGTGATGTTGATATTTTAAAAATAAAAATCAATATATATAATTAAAAGAAATTTGAAATGAGTTTAAATATTTTAAATATTATATCTAATAAAATATACTCTTTCGGTCTTAATAGTGTTGTCTTGTTTTTCTATTTTTGTTTGTCCCAAAACAATTATCTTGTTTCTTACTTTTTTTTTTCAAAAATATTTTTTTTATTTAGTAACAGTGGTCTCCATTTTATAACAAAATTATTCCACTTTTTCAAACTACCTCTAATTACTACTGCAACCTACTTTTAAAATCATTCCGTATTTTAGTTTTTTAACTTCTACTTTATATTATTTTCAATTAAATAATATTATTCTTTAATTCTCGTGCCCACTTCCAACAAAATATTTTTTTTGGACGGAAAGAGTATATAATATGGATACCTTTTCACGGAGAATAAAACAATATATGTTACAATTAAATAAAAAATATATTTATTTGTTTATTAATACTCCCTCCGTCCCACCACATTTGATACTATTTCCATTTTTGTCTGTCCCATAACAATTGACAAATTTCTATTTTTGGTAAAAATTATTAATTCAAAATATATTTAACAAATATAAATCAACTTAATTAACTACATAATATACAACATCATAAATGACGTAAGACCCACTTAAAACCCCTTTATTTCTACATCTCTCCTCAAAAAAATAAATATTTTTATCTATATTTAAAACTATACATCTTTTATAAAATTGATTTATGTTAATTATAAATAAACAAAAATATTTTTTTATTTACTTATATTATAGAAAATTTTATTCTCTACAAAATTATATTCATATTGCTATATAATTTTTAAATATTTAAACATATATTTTAATTTTTTTTAATCATATATATTAAATTTACTTTAAAATTATAAATATTATTAATTATAAAAAAATATAATAATATCATAATTAATTATTATTAACTAATTAAACATTCTCGTCTTAAATACCGTGTCGTGGGACAGAGGGAGTATAAACTAATTTTCTAAGAAAATGAAAAAATTTAAATATGAATAAAAATATTTATTTATTGAAGATAAAGATAAAAATAAATTAATTTTCAGTAGATTCTACATATTTGAGAGGTTAGAAATTTAATTAAATTAATTTTTATATATATTAAATATATTTAAAATTGATAATTTACTAAAAATATAATCTTGTCAACTATTATGAAATATACTAAAATAAAAAATGTCAACTATTATGAAATGGTAGGAGTATATTGTTTTGAAAAATAAAATGAATTAATAGTATAATATTAAAATAAATATAGAATTTTGATTTTAATTTTCAAGAAAAATTTTATTGAATAGTAAAATTTCCTAAAAATCCTAAAACAAACACAACCAAAAAAACTACAATAGTCAAATTCCTATCTGAAGAAATTTTTTTAAAATAAATCAAAACTGCAACAGATAAATTGATATCAAAATAAAGAAGAGTATTATATGTATAGGGAAAAACAAAAAAAAACAAGAAAAGAAAAATCATCAGTGTTCCTTCGGTAGAAGTGAATTAAATCTTAATCACAAAACAATCAGAATTAGCATGATTTTTTCGAATCAACCATCACAAGGAACACTTCCAAAATAAACCAAAGAAGAACAAAAAACATAAAAATAACTCAAATCCAAAATAAAATCAGAAAAGAAGTAGGGTGAAGATCAGACGATGTACGTGAGAAAAAAATGTAAATTTCCCTGACCTCACACAGGAAAGGCCTCAAAATGAGCTGGGATTAACATCTATCATCACTGCCACGCCCTAATTTCAATCAAATTCATAAGCGCTGCAGGCTGCAACAAATCATTGCGGAGGAGAAAAACGAAATAAGTTAAATAAGAGAATTCAGAATTAGAGTATCCACCAATGTGTGTATATATAGACCATTCTTCATAATTAGGCAAAATTAATAGGCCCATTCCTTCTAGAACAATTTAGCATGCTTACATGAAATGTTGCAAATAATATATATGAAAAACAGTTACATCCTTGAGATGCCGAAAACCACAAGAGATTTGGCAAAAAATGTAACATGCTCAAATATTACATTCAGGATAGGGTGAAAACAGCAGAAAAGGCAGAGCAGTTTAAGTAACATGTAAAAATTGAGTAATTATAAGGACAAAGAACATACCATACTCCCAACAATACCAACACATTCTTGTTGGTTCTCTTGGCCTGCAAAAAACATAGATTAATTTAAATTAGTTTAAGGCACCTTAAGTGTTTTAGGTGATATACTAATCTTTTGGGAAGTTATGATCACTTCAGATGTCTATTGATCTAACGATTATTATAGAATACTTAACTATGAAAACTAAAGGTACAGTAAATATTATACAAGAGCTATACATAGAAATGATATTTGCCTTGAAATTTTTGGTTTTGAAAAATATGGATAAATCAATCACACCGCATTGCATGAGATCATATCTTAAGTCTTTTATGAGAACCTCGATCCTATTCATATTTCCTACAGCATGAATTGCAGATGCAAATATTCCAAGTAAGAATTTAACCCTAACAAATATGGTTTGCTTGAATTTATTATAAACATTTCGAAAAGCAATCTTACAAAATTACAAGTCATCTGTTACGATAAAACCATAATCATCGCACAGATAACCTAAAGCACAACAACCAAGCGTTTGTCATCTATAGTTAAAGTGACAACATAAAGTAGTACAAAAATCATCTGATTGTCTGCAGATGAACATCTCTACATAAATCAAATCAATGCAGGTTACATGGCGAGGTATACCACATTACATTCGCACACAAAATAAATAAATAAAATCACGACATGTGCAATCACGCTATTCAACAGGCTCCAGAGGATATATATATATATATAAACAGAACTTGGAAAAACAAATAAAGACACCATTGAGATTAACACCGCAGAAATTACGCACAGAGGAAAAGCAACACTCACAAGCTATCAAATCACATCGCAACAGATTACGCTTGCAATTGAAATCGCAACGTAAGGAGAAGCAGCACTTACCATGGGAGGAGGCGACGAACCGGAGAAACCCTAGACTCAGCTGTTCTTACACACGACCAAATATTCCCTCGTTGGTCATGTTTACGGATTTTTCAGGTTACGCTGTTATCGGCCCAAACATTAGGCCATTGCATAATAGTGGACCTCAAAGGCTTATATCTTATATTGGGCTTACAAAAGCCCATTATTATTATTATTATTATTATTATTATTATTATTATTATTATTAATCTCCGGCGGTGATATGCCATAATTTTCAAGAAAGATAGATAACTTCAATTGATTGGCATTGAACATGTGTGTTTTTTTTTTTTTTTTTTTTTTTTTTTTTTTTTTTTTAATTTGAATTCGAATTTGAATTATTTAATGTGCTGTTTTTATATTTTAAATAAAAAATTAAATTTTAATATAATATATATAATAAAAAATAAAGATTTCATTTAATTTTAGAAAAAAAAAAAAGTTATGAATAGCAAAATCTTTAGAAATCAAACAAACAAGCACACCCAACATACAAAAAAATAAATTAATTGATCAATTGAACTTTTGAACTTTCTTTGGGTCACATATGATTTGATTTGTCATTGGTATTAATTAGGCCAGTTAAATTTACTGTAATTTTTTTTATTTTACTATTTGATATTTGTATTTTAAAATATGGGGTTGAATTCCCGTTGAATCGGTACTGCCAATTTTTCTTAATATTCCTTTCGTCCCATATATTATGGGCCTATTACTGTAAATACGATAATTTAGGTAAAGTGTAGTTAGAAAGTAATTAAGAAGTGTATTAGTAAAAATAATTATCTTATAATAAAAATAATTGTGGATTAAGATTAATATAACTAAATAGTTTAATTAAGATTAAAAAAATTATAAAATTTAAAATTTAAAATGAGATTAAAGTGTATAATTATATTTCCGAAAAAAGAATGAACAAATTATATGAAACGGACGAAAATAGAAAATATGAAAAAATTATATGAGAAAGAGAGAGTAATAAATAGATTATTTAAATGAGTTGGCATATAATTGCCTTTTTGGCACATTGGGGTAGTTGAAGATATAAAAAATTTTAAATTCTGTATTTAATCCAATCAACTATCATGTTGAATATTATAGTATAAATTAATTCTTAATGTATATGTATATGTTGAAATTAATGAAATGGGATGTTAATTTATTAATTAACAATAGTTTGAATATTTTAATAAATTAATGAGTAGTTAATACATATTGAAATACTTTCACATAATTAACAATAGTATAGATATTTTAATACATAATTTAAATTAGGAATTCCATTAAATGTCAAATTATGAATCATGTATATATATTAGAGGTAGAAAAACATCAAACAAACATGTCTTTATATTTAAATTTAAAATATTTTCACATAATGTAAAAAACGTAAGAATTTTGTATTCTACTCATCAAAAGTTCCATTCAATAATGTACTACTTTCGTCCGGCTCTAAGAGTCTCTTTTATTTTTTACGTGTTGATCTTTGAATATTAATACAAATTAAAAAAAATTGTAAAAATATTTTTATTACTGTCTTATAATACTAATAAAAGGACATTTTGTAAAAAAAATTATATAAATATAATAATATTTTCAATGTTAAACATAATGACGTAAAATGTAAATGTGACCTTTAAAAACGGTAAAACGGCTCTTGTGCACATGTAGATATTGAAATTAATGGAACATAATGTTATTTTATTTTAATTATCAATAATTAGAGTATTTTAATATAATAATGAATGGTAATACATGTTACCGAAATGCTATATTGAAGCAAAAAAAATGCTAATAGTTTAACTATTTTAACTTTGTGACTAATACATTCAAAGTAGTGTTCCACTTTGTCGGTCTAGTTGAAGATGTATGTTTGAGTTACAATATTCTTGTCTCATTATTACGACATATTGTTTGGATATTTCTTATTTTGTTGTATTCTTCTGGATGAACTGCATTTGAACTGGTTTTATATTGTTGTCTTCTTTGTACCATGTTTTGTTGCAACAATTTTTTTTATGTATTGTTTACAGGGCGTCTCGAACTTTTTTATGACCCTGAGCAAAAACAAAATATAGGCCCTATAAATATATAATTAAATGTATTTTAAAATAATATCACCGACAACTATAATAACAAACTCCATAAAAAAAAAAAAAAATTATTTTGATCACATATTCAATAAATGTTCATTAACAAAAGTGTATTATTGGTAAAGAATACCAATATTTTAACTAATATAAAAATAATAATCCAATAATAACAACTATTATAATAATTATAATAATAATAATAATAATAATATTATTATTATTATTATTATTATTATTATTATTATTATTATTATTAGAAACTATAAATACATCATTCATTACAAATCTCTGCACAAAAAATTATAATCCCTCCGTCCGGGAAATTTAGTCCATTTTCTTTGTATTTTTACAAAGAAGTGGATTAAATTTTCCGAACGGAGGGAGTATAATATAATATAACTAAGCTAAAAAGAAGTAAGAATAAACCAGATTTAAACAAGCTTCCCAAAAATTATAGCCGACTTGACATGCTTATCAAAAGAGGATTCAACTGAAAAAAAAAAAAAAAAAAATCAATGAATTTAAAAAATAACATAATAAAAACAAATTATAAAATACTAAATTTTAAGTACTTACAAGATTGTTATTTAAGAAGTCTTGTCCTTCGTGCATTCTTTGAAGCAAATTCGTCAATCAAATCTTTATAAGTTACTTTGTTCAAAATTTCATTTTCAATTGCTACTAAAGTTAGATCATTTAGTCTTTCTTGGAACATAAAACTATGCAAGTAAGTCTTGAGCAACTTTAATTTTGATAAACTTCTTTCAGCGGTTGCAAGGGTCACTGGGATGATTAACAATATCCTACATGCAACAATTGCATTGGAAAAACAATCAACATATTTTAAAAAATTTATAATATCTAAAACATCAAATTTTTTTTTAGGTAAACACTCTTGTAGCAATTTCAACTCCCCATATAAATTATATTCGTGAATATCACAAATATCACCATTTTTAAGTTATTATAAAATTCGTACAACAAGACTTCAAGTTAATATCATCTAATAAATGCAATTTTTTATAAGGAAAAAAAAAACCCAAACACATTTTTAATATTGTTCAAACCTTCTATCAAGTGAAACAATTGTTTAATCAATAATACAATTAAAAAAAATAATTTTAAAGATTGTTTTGCACTTAGTAAACTTTTATCAATTTTTTTTCTTTTAATATCATCTAATAAATGCAATTTTTTATAAGAAAAAAAAAAACCCAAACATTTTAAATATTGTTCAAACCTTCTATCAAGTGAAACAATTGTTTAATCAATAATACAATTAAAAAAAAAATAATTTTAAAGATTGTTCTGCACTTAGTAAACTTTTATCAATTTTTTTTCTTTTAATTTGACGCTTTTGAGGAGAAATTGGATCAACATCCATTTCAAGTGCAATTTCTGTGCCAATATCAATAACATTTGTAAAATCATTATTTTTATACTCCTCAAAAAAATAAAATCAATTTTTCAACATTTTCAATGACAACACAAACTAGCAACACAAACTAGCATGTATTTTGATTGTAATTTTTTATTAACTAACAACATATAACAAATTATACCAAATTACAATCAAAACAATAAATTCAAAATCTCCTAGCTCGTCATTAGCTAAAGATTTAGTCTCACTTCTTGTTTTAGAATCACCATTACTTTCAGCAATTTCAAGCAAAGCTTCTCTAAAATCTGGAATTTGAAATAAAATTGCTTTTACACTATTAACACGACTTTCCCAACAAGTAAAAGATAATGATTTAGGAGTTAAATATTTCACATTATTTATTAAAATTTGCCATCTTTTTTAAGAATTTGCAAATATAGTATAGATGCGTTGGATTACACAAAAAAAAATCCCTAACTTTTCGAAAATTATTGGTCATGTCACACAACATTAAATTAAGACTATGAGCACTACAAAGAGTATAAAGAGCTCTAGGATTCAAATCCAAAAGTTTTATTTTCACTCCTTGATTTTTTCCTTTCATATTCGATCAATTATCATAATTTTGTCCACGCACATCATCTACATCAAGTTCAAGAACACTTAATTCATGTAAAAAAATATAAAAAAGTTCTTGTCCAGTTGTATCATTCACATTAAATAAATCCTAAAAATGATTCTTTTATGCAAACACAATTAGAAGAAATATCTAAATATCTTAAAATCAAAGACATTTGTTATTACAAATAAAAAAGACATTTGTTCTTGATTGCTAACAGCGGGTGTACAATCAAGTATTACAGAAAAATACTTAGCCATTTTTAATTCTTTAATAATTTCAAATTTAATTGCATAAGCAAGCAAAAGAATCAACTCATTTTGAATGTTGTGACTAGGATAATGAATATAAATGTCATCAATAGGATCAAACTCAGCTACCATTTTAATTAATCCTAAGAAATTTTCATTGTTATTTTCATATAATTTCTCATTAGAACCATGCAATGTTATGTTTTGCAAAAAACTTCACAATTGAAATAATTCTTAACAAAACATTTTTCCAGTATTCTTTATCTCTCTCAAGTTCTTTTAGATTTTATTTATCAATGGTTTTATTCTTTTGAAGTCTTAATGCAACTCATACCAAGTGACCATCTTTTGAATGTGTTCTATACTAATTTCATGTTCTTTAATTCTAATATAAAGATGAACCCAATCACTAAAACCCTCATTTGCCAATAAGCCTCTATCACAACCTTTCTTAAACAACTTACAACAACAAAATTTTTTTTTATCAAGTTCTTTTGAATATACAAGCCAATCTCTATCGCATTTTTTCTTATTTGGCAATACTCTAGTGTAGAATGTGATAGAAAATTGTCTTTCAAATTTATCTTTAGTGCTTTTTACAATAGACAAAACTCTTTTAGAACCCTTTATTGCTAACATATTAATCATTTCGGAATTCAATTGTGGTTCTCTTATAACAAATTTATTAATTGCTCAACTCTGAGATTGAATTAGCTCATCAATTCTTTTTTTCTTTTTGCATTTTTCATATCCA